CCCTGCTTGGTATCATCTGCAAACTTAATAAGCGTCCTCTATGTGCCATCATCTAAATCACTGAGGATATTGAACAGAACTGGTCCCAAAACACACCCCTGGGAATTCCACTTGTTCTGCCCTTCCAGCAGGATTGCAAATCGTTAATAACTACACTCTGAGAACGGTTCTCCAGCCAGTTCTGCACCTACCTTAGAGTCGCCCCATCTAGGTTGTGTTTGCCTAGTTTATTGATAAGAATGTCATGCGAGACCGTATCTAATGCTTTACTAAAGTCTAAGCATACCACGTCCACTGCTTTTCCCTTATCCACAAGGCTTGTTATCCTATCAAAGAAAGCTCTCAGATTTCTTTGATATGATTTACAAATCCATGCTGGCTGTTACCTGTCACCTTATTTTCTTCCAGATGTTTGCAGATGATTTCCTTAATTACCTGCTCCATTATCTTCCCTGGGACAGAAGTTAAACTGACTGGTCTGTAGTTTCCTGGGTGGTTGTTTCCCTTTTTATAGATGAGCACTAGATTTGCCCTTTTCCAGTCTTCTGGAATCTCTCCTAACCTCCCTGAATTTTCAAAGATGATAGCTAAAGGCTCAGACACCTCCTCTATCAGCTCCTTGAGTATTCTAGGTGTATTTCATCAGGCCCTGGTGACTTGCAGACATCTAACTCTTCTAAGTAATTTGAACTTGTTTTATTTTAATTTCTACACCTACCCCCTTTCCACTAGCAATCTCCATGTTAGGCATCCCGCCACCCTGACGAAAACCGAAACGAAGAAGTCATTAAGCACCCCTGCCATGTCCAGGTTTCCTGTTGTTGTTTCTCCCTCCTCACTGAGCAATGGGCCCACCCTGTCCTTGCTCTTCCTCTTGCTCCTAACATACTTGTAGAACATCTTCTTGTTACCCTTTAGCCCAGCTAGATTTAGCTCGTTTTGTGCCTTTGCCTGTCTAATCTTGCCCCTGCATACGTGTGTTGTTGCTTATATTCATCCTTTGTCATTTGATCTAGTTCGCACTTTTTATGAGACTCCTTTTTGATTTTTAGATCATGTAAGATCTCCTGGTTGATCCAAGGTGGTCTCCTGCCAGACTTTCTATCCTTCCTACGCAGTAGAATAGTTTGCTTTTGAGCTGCTAATAATGTCTCTTTAAAAAACTGCCAATTCTCTTCAGTTGTTTTTCCCTCTTAGTCTTGCTTCCCAGGGACCTTACCTACCAGCTCTGAGTTTACTAAAATCTGCCTTCCTGAAATCCACTGTCTCTGTTTTGCTGTTCTCCCTTCTACCATTCCTTAGAATCATGAACTCTATGAATTCGTGGTCACTTCTACCTAAGCTGCCTTCCATTTTCAAATTCTCAACCAGCTGCTCTAAGGAGGCAGCGATCGGGCCTGACTCTGGATTCACAGGGGACCCCAGGGGTCCAGCAGCTCTGAGGAGGCAGCGATCAGGCCTGGCTCTGGATTCACAGGGGACCCCAGGGGTACAGCAGCTCTGAGGAGGCAGCGATCGGTCCCAGCTCTGGATTAGGCTTTGCTAGTTCAGACTGTGAAGTCTTGTGACCAGTCATGGCGATATTTTGAGCCAGTGGGTGGAGTCTCCCTGTCCGCACAGGGCAGCCATCGTAGCCCAAACTGGACTCTCACGATGGGCTCTCTCACTTAGAGCCGCCGCAGAGCCAGACCCAGAGAGCTGGGTTTGCATTCCAGGGCTTTGTATCCAAACCCGGCCTCCTGAGACCCGCAGGGCGGGGGTATGAGATTCCAGTCTGGGCTCCTCTCAGCTGTGACCCCCTGGGCTGTATTCTGCAGTCGGTCCCACCGGCACAGGCAGCCTCAGTTGCTTTGCTGGGTGAAGGCAGGCGGGCATTGCTGTGCTTGTGAGGAGTGACCCATTGGCTCTGTGCAACCGGGAACCAGCACTGTTCAGCCCAAGCGCTCGCATCACCATAGATCACTCGGTGAACCGGGGCAAGTGACTGATGTGACGGGGCACGTCGAGGGACAATGCCTGTGGGCCGGGCTGGGGCTGAGTCCTGGGAGGCAGCGACTCTCCCATGGCACGGCCGAAAGGGCTTTGCCATCCCGGGGAGCACAGGCAGGAGAGTGTCGAGCAGGAGCAGAGGTTATTTTACCCCGGATGCTGGCGGAATGGCAGTCTGGGGCCCAGAGTCCGGGAACGGTGGTAAATGACATTCGGTAAGAGAGGGCTCTCCAGTCCAGCAGAGCAAAGCAGAACAGGAGCCAGGGCTGGAAGTGGAAACTAGACAAATACAGACTGGAAATCAGGTGCAAATGTTTGACAGGCAGGGCAGTTACAGCCAGACCATTACAGCCGGGCAATTACAACCAGACAGTTACAGGCTGGGCAATTACAGCCGGGCAATTAATCACTAGAATGGTTTGCAGCTTGTCATGTTCGATGCTCCCTCACTGAACCCCTCCCCCACTCTCCCCATTCATTAATTGGTTGAACATAACGTTTAGCCGGTTAACTAATTAAAGAGGATTTTACACCCTTGGTGGCCAGTGGCTAGATTTTCAAATGGACAGACCCACACTTACACCTGAACATCAGAGTGGCCGGACTGGGTCAGACCAAAGGCCTATCTAGCCCAGCGGCTGGTCTGACGATGGTGGCCAATGCCAGGTGCCCCAGAGGGAGGGAACAGAGCAGGGAACCATCAAGTGATCTCTCCCCTGTCGCCCATTGCCAGCCTCTGGCTTCCTGGTCATTTGTAAATCTGGCCCCAAACAAGGAGAGATTTTAAATCTCAATTCATATTAAAACCTTTTAAAGAGCAGCGCTGCCTTGGCTGGCAGAAGAAGGCTGCTAATCCGGTACGTTAGCTGTAATACGGAGCTGCATCTGCTCCGCCCGGGCCGGCTTCCCTGGCCGGGAGTCCCTGCCGCTTTATTCATTGATGGCAAGGCTGTCCGGGGAAAGCCAGCCTTTCGCAGGCATTAATGCTCCTTGATAGGTTAACCTGTAACATTTGAACTCCCAAGATGGAATCGTTAATTGCTGGTCTATTTGCAGCCCAAGCAGATCATTCCTTAATGAAGCTGAGGAGAGTCTCAGAGATCACCCTGCCACACCTCCACCTGCCTAGGACAGGTATCACGCCAGGGCCCAATCCTGCTTCCACTGGTGCCTGGGTCAAAATTCTCATCCACTTTCATGGACACCGTCACCAGCCTGACGACAGCCAAGAAGCTTGTGCCTGGACATTCCTGGTGCTGGTCACTGTTCCCACAGGGGGTAAATCAGCCCCGCCCACTCTGTCAGCCTCATGGGTGGAGCCCTGAGCCTCTGACTGGGCGGGGCTGAAGCGGGGCTGCGCTCACCTTAGAGGGAACCCTGATCCTGATGCTGATCTGAAATTGGGCAACCCAGACCAGAAAACACCTGTTCTCACGGACGCCATCTGCACAAACCGTGTCAGCCTCAAAAACAACTTCCAGGGCAACAGGGACACAACTGGGCTCCTTCGTCCTTTCTCTTTTTTCTCCAAGCTGGTTGGTGTCGTTCACAGAAGACCCTCAGTTGCATTTGTGACCCCGAAGAAACATCTGTGGTTCAGGGTACCCCAGTGAGAGTGTGGTCACTGGCAATCAGAGCTACGTCTACACTACTTTTTCTAGCACTGCAGCGCCTCTGCTGAAAACACACTAGGGGCTGATGGGAGAAAGCTCCCCCGACAGCTTAATAACATCTACACCCGTGAAAAGAGGAGGCATGTTGGCGGGAGACGCTTTCCTGCCGACGCCGCTGTCCACACCGGCACCCAGGTCGCTGGAACTCCCGTCGCTCAGGACGGTGGATTAGTCAAGTTGTTACTTATTATTGTTGGTTGATTCTTACTTCAAGCTCTACCAAAATCATTAGTAATGTTGGCAGCGCAGTTCCCCACTCTGGCACGCCGGGTGCAGAAGGTGGGGGCCCACGAGAGGCATCCCTTTCACTGTAGGCTTCTGCTTAAAAACTCCCCAAGGTCAGAGATTCCCTGGCCTTGGGAGGTAGCTGCCAACCCAAGTGAAAAAAAAACCCCTTTCTTTTTGAACCCAGGAAGATTCACTTCAGAGGGGTACCCCAAGCTCTTTTACCACAAGAGAGCTTAAAAGAAAGTAAACCAACTGCAGTCTCTGACAGCTGACCTCCCAGTCTTAGACATGCACATACAGACCTCCTGTTACCTTCTAGGTGACAAGAATCAGATCATAGTCTTTAAAAAGGTGATTTTATTAACAAAACAGAGAGAGATTTTCGAAAGCACACTTGGTTGCTAGGTGTTATAGAGCAACTGAGAAAAACCAGATTCAAGCACAGAGAATTGCTTCCCTGGGATTCTACTTTAGTTACAGTGTATCGGGGTGGGGAAGGGAGTACATGGACTTGGCACAGAGGAACAGAACCCCCAAGAAAATAACCTGCTGGTGTCTAACTAAAGCATTCCCTATCTACTCACATATCTGTACTTCCAAGGTTCCAGGCACAGGTATTCCTACCTGGTTCCGTTCATCTTCTTCCCCCCAGCATCTGGTTTGAACTGCCACAGGCAGATTCCCCTTCAATTCCAATCTCGACACTTTCTTCCCATTGGTTTGCCTGGCTCCCTGCCAACACTTCCTGGAATTTGTTTCGGGATTCCTTGAGTTTAACCCTTTACTGGCAGGACCCTTCTCATCATCACAAATGTAGCCAGAGCCTAGGAGTGTGGTGGGGATCCTTCCCCCATGCTGGTGAGCATTCCCAGGCGGAGGGTGGGAACACGTGTGTGAGTGATTGGCCAGGGTGTGTAAGGGGACCACAGTGTGGCCGTTGAATGATACTTCCTGCATACGCTGCATTCTGGCTTGTTTCTGGCCAATACAACAGGGGTGTAGCCCTTTGGGGAGGCTTTCAGGTTGTTTCAGTGCGCAGAATGCAAGTGATTCTTGATGTATGCTCAACACAATCAGCCTAGTAAAACACACATTGACTCTTTACTTTAGGCAGAGGGAGTCAAAGCAGAACCCTTTGAAAATCACTCGGCTTTGGAAATAGCAGAGCAGCTGACGTTGCTGGATCACCTGGTCTTTAAGAAGATCCCATACGAGTAAGTGCTGCCTGTCGTTTGGCACCTCTGCCAGCGCCGGAGGGCGGTGGGTTGCCAAGCTCACATCTGCAGCACGGCAATAGGGGCAGGACTTGCCTTCCGTGTAGCAATGCCTGGTGCAGACTCAGGGCTGTAACTGTCCAGAAATGCCCCTCGTTGGGGTGTGGGGAGCTGGGACTCCGGGACACGGGGCTCTCCAGGATTTCCCCAGCAATCTAGGAGAGCAGTAGCCAGTGTGGTTGGGGGGAGGGGAAGTCTCCGGCTTAGCTCCTGCCTACTCACCTGGGTGGGAGGGGAGGCAGCAGCTTCAGGGAGGCGCCTGCCAGGTGGGTGGCCTAGGCAGGTGAACACTCTCTCCCTGCTGGCATCACCAAGGCGAGGACCTATCCTGCCCCAGGTGGGGCTGTAACTTGCAAGCGGGTCCCCGTCTCCCCCACCAGCTGCTGGCATGGGAAGTGAAGAGGGAAGTTTGCCCATGAGCCAGCCCTGCCTCGGCCCAGGCATGGAGCTGGTAGCACTTCCCTGTTTCCCTGCATGCTCTGCCAGGACACAGCAGGTGTCCCTGGTTTCCGGGCAGGCCCTTTATCGCAAGCTGGCCGAGCCCGGTTGGTCCCTGCTCGGTGCCGATAGAAAACCACGTGCCGTTTGGCTGGCATCGTGCATGCACGGAGGGTGCCACTTGGCAGAGCGCACTGCCCTGCCCCGCTGCCGTGACCTTGCATGTAGCGCACGGGCGAGGCCACACCAGGAGGGACAGCCCCCTGCCGATCCGGTAGCCCCGTATTCTGAGGGCGTGGCAGTGGTTTCTGCAGCCTAGCGACAATCGCCCCGGTCTCTCCCTAGCCCAGCTTGTGGTGACAGCTGTGGTGCCTCTCGGATTGGCAGCACACGTGTCCACGTTTTCTGTTCTGTGGCAAAGAGGGGGGTGGGGCGATGAGGGTGGCCACCTGCCCCCTTGCAGATGCAGAAATTAACCTTCTGACAGAGAATCCCTACTCAGTGCTCCAGGGAAGACCCCTGTATCTGGCCAGAACTGTCTTCCTAACCCGTGTGTGCTGAGCTGGGAGCCCGAGTCTCTGTAGCCAGGCCTGGGGTACCGCTGAGGCCGCATTACCTGGTTTTTCTCTAACCTGCGGAAGGCAGTTTCTGCCAGGACGCCCACATACTCGGTTCCGAAGGGCAAGAATCCTTCCCCAGGCATTTTGCAGGCAGGGCGGGCTCTGGGGAGAGCCAGGGACCCCCAGAAGATGGATGGAAGTGATGCTGGGTTTGTACTTTGCAGGGAGTTTTTCGGGCAGGGCTGGATGAAGCTGGAGAAGAACGAGAGGACGCCGTACATTATGAAGAACACGAAACACTTCAATGATGTAAGGAGGGGTGATCTGGGAAATGGCGGGGCGGGTGGCAGAGGAGTCGTGGCTTGTGTTGGTGTGCTGGGTCTGAGATGCACTGACCCCGTTCCCATGGTGACTTTCGCCGTCGGAGAGCAGGCCCAAGGGAATCCCAGTCCAATGTGCTGATCTACCTGGAACAGACCAAACTGGCCCCAGCCAAACATGCCCACATTGCAGAGGGTGGGGGCAAAGGGGTAAAATCTGAATCCAGACTTCTTCCTAAGTCAGGCTGCTAAATCTGGCCCCTTGTAGAGGGAGACCTGAGCTGAGAACTTGGGCCCAGGCTTTGGGGTTTGGCTCCATCTGAGCATAGAATAAGACGGCCCCTGCGCTCCTAGGCTGAGTGAAGTCACCTGGAAATACGCACCGAAAAGCATGGGTCAAAATGGTCACGTTTCCATACGTAAGTGAGGCCCCCGGAGTTAAACCCTGACTCCTGGGAGTCCTGGGCAAAACTCCCTTTGACGTCGGGGGCTAAGATTCCCCTCCAGATCTGTATCTCGATTCCTAAGGCCCTGGCCTGTTTTCAAAGCGCTTGGCCCCTCTGAAAACAAGGCTTCTGACCCAGGCTGGGCTGGCCACGCAGGGCAGAGAATTCGCTGTCTCCACCGCACAGAGCCCTCAAAGGCATGCGCTCTTACCTTGGGGTTAGGCGAGAAATGCTGCCGCCAGCCCAGGCCAAGTACAGCAGTACGCTTGCACTGACGTCCCGCTGCCTTCTGTCAAGGCTGTTCCCCACTCTGGCACAACAAATGCAGAAGTGGGGGCCTGTAAGAGCACCCCAAAACCTTGTCTTTACAGGCTTTGGTACAAAAACTTCCCCCCAAAAATCCTAATACCCCAATTCTGGGGAATCCGCTGCCACCACCCAAGTAATTCCAAGAAAACCAGGGAAGAAATCACTTGGAAAACCTCCTCCCTAAGGAAAACTCTCCCTTGCCCCAACCTCCGTTTTGCTTGGAGTTGGGAAGAACAGAGGGGAGACACAGACAGACCTTCCAGGACACAAAAATCAACCAGTACCGGTTCATTAGAAAAAGAAAAAAGCCTTTATTATCAAAACAGAACTACAGTTGCAAGCATAGTAAAGTGGCTAGATGGGAAGAGCCACCAATTGATATACTCAGGGAAAACCCCTAGGCTAAAACTTAAGTTACAAAGAAAGACCAAACACGTAACCAGCTCAGACATTAGTTCCAAATTCCCAAACCAGAAAAACAACAAAACCTGATGGACTAGCTAAACTTTTTCCTACTTACACATCATAAGTCTGTTCTTGGAGAAGGATGGTCCTCCCATCTCCTTCAGTCTTGGAAGAAAACGCTCTAAATGTCAAACAAAGAGAGAGAAAAACTCCTCTTCCCCTGTTTGAAATCCCTACCTGCATTGTTATTGGCTGACCACCCAATACCTGACTAGGTACAGGAGACGTCGTTAGCCCCTTAGGGTATGTCTACACTACCCCGCTAGTTTGAACTAGCGGGGTAATGTAGGCATACCGCAATTGCAAATGAAGCCCGGGATTTGAATTTCCCGGGCTTCATTTGCATAAGCGGGGAGCCGCCATTTTTAAATCCCCGCTCGTTCGAACCCCGTGCCGCGCGGCTACACGCGGCACGAACTAGGTAGTTCAAACTAGGCTTCCTAGTTCGAACTACCATTACTCCCCGTTCGAACGAGCGGGGATTTAAAAATGGCGGCGCCCTGCTTATGCAAATGAAGCCTGGGAAATTCAAATCCCGGGCTCCATTTGCAATTGCGGTATGCCTACATTACCCCGCTAGTTCAAACTAGCAGGGTAGTGTAGACATACCCTTAGTCACCACGCGCTTAGGTGCATTGCTGATGCAGGGCCCCTGTGAGCGTTTTGTGAGTGGGCTGCAGCTGGTCACTGCCTCTGTGAGCTCCAGGAGGTGACAGTCCTTAAGTCACAGCCAAGAACATGTGGCTGTAATGAAGCAACTGTGTGCTCAGCAGGCTGGGCAGGGCTGGGGTCCCTGGCCTCTGTGTGTCAGGGGCTGGCAGTGGGTGCCGGGGGAGGGAGGGAGGGATCTGTTCCCTCCCTCTGGGCGCCTGGCTTTGGCCACTGTGGGCAGACAGGACTCCGGGCTGGATGGACCCTTGGTCTGACCCCGTCTGGCCGCTCTTCTGTTCTTAGCTGTTTCTGTGTGAAGGTGCTTCCGGCAGAGCCAACTGTGTTCTGGCTGCGAAGGGAGAAGGGCGACAGACGAGTGTCGGGGCGAAGGTCTGTGGTGAATTGGTGCCAGCCTTTGAGGAAATGCCTCCCTGGCACACTGGGTAACGGCCCTTCTCCCTGCAGATCAGTAACTTGATCGCCTCCGAAATCCTCCGCAACGAGGATGTCACGGCCCGGGTGAGCGCCATTGAGAAGTGGGTGGCCGTGGCGGATATCTGCCGGTGTCTGCACAACTACAACGCTGTCCTGGAGATCACCTCCTCCCTGAACCGCAGCGCCATCTTCCGCCTCAAGAAAACCTGGCTCAAAGTGTCCAAGCAGGTGCGTGGCTACTGGCAGGCTCGGTCCGAGGGGTCTCACTGGGGCGCTTGGGGCTGCCATGCACCGGGGCCCACTGTGCAAGAAGAGGGTCTGTGCCCCGGGGCGTGACAAGACATGCAAGGAGCCACGGCGACATGGCCGTTTGAGTGGCCCCAAATGAAGCACAAACTCAAACGTCCCCGGGAGCGACTGGATCAGCGCTTTGTGAGCGCCGCATGCAGCCTCCCTCCGCCCCCTCGTTGGGACCCTGGGCCGGGTCACACGGCCGGCATCTGCGCCCAGGAGCCAATGCTGTGTCCAGCTCATGCTAGCCCTTGGGCAGGCTGGAGGCCAGCTGTGTCCATCGGGGATTGGGCAGCGGCGGGAGGATCATGGGAGCAGGTTCTCAGGTGCCCAGTCTGTACCTCCCTGAACAGCATGATGCCGAGAGCAGAGTGCAGCAGCTCCCGGGCACGGGGCCGCTGTGGAGCTGATGCCATGAGGAGCAGCCCTGAGCACACCTGGGATGCGGGGGCACGTTCCTCCCCAAATCACAGAGCAGCAGCAGCCGTGAATGCAACTTCTGGGCTGGAGGGCAGCTGGGGTATTCCAGACGGCATCTCGCCACATGCTGGAAGGCACCCTGAGTGGCGCTTAGTCACCTCTGCTGGGGACGTTGGTGCTCGGGGCCAGAGAAAGGTGTCTGGTGTCACTGCGTCCCTGCCAGGCTCCATGACTCCCGGGAGAGCTTTGTGGCTGACTGCGAGAGCTGAGAAGGAGCCGGAGGTGCTGGCCAAAACCGGTGCTGGGAGCGATGAGTCGGCCGAAAGCAGGGCTGGCAGGGAGCCTCCTGCCTCGTGGAAGGTGCCGATGGTTCTTTGCCGAGCTCAGCCCTGGGCAGCCAGGAGGGGTTTGCTCTTCCCCAGCCTGGCGGCAGAACACGTGTCCGCTCCTCGGCTCGTGGGCCTCTGCCGGGGGGACAGGCGCCTCCTGGCTCATGACACAGCTCCTGGGCCGGGCTCACCGCAGGTTTGCACCTCACGCCGCTTCCCGCCCGGCCCCGCTCTCCTCACTGCTCTCCAGCTGTGCACCACGTGCGGTCCGCTCCCGCGAGCCACAGCCCTGCCTGGCCTTTGAGCGAATGGGGGCTGCTTTACGCCCTATCCCAGCCCACGCGGCCGGGGGCGCTTGGCCTGCCCCATCGCTGCCGGGCCAGGATCGCTGCCCGGACGAAGAGGGGCGCCCTGTTCCCGGCCACGGGCAGCTGCGCCTTAGAGCTCATGAAGCCGGGCACCTCTTTCCGGCCTATTCCCTGGTCTTCCTTCCCGGTGTCCTCACCAGCACCGATGCCCCAGGGCCAGCAAGGCTCAGGCCCGTCGCTCTAATGCCCAGCAGGGCTGGAGCACAGCCCAGCTTCTGATTGGCTGATTGGCTTTGCATCACGCTGACCTGCACCACGGGCAGCTGCGCCTTAGAGCTCATGAAGCCGGGCACCTCTTTCCGGCCTATTCCCTGGTCTTCCTTCCCGGTGTCCTCACCAGCACCGATGCCCCAGGGCCAGCAAGGCTCAGGCCCGTCGCTCTAATGCCCAGCAGGGCTGGAGCACAGCCCAGCTTCTGATTGGCTGATTGGCTTTGCATCACGCTGACCTGCACCGGGCACGCTCCATAAGAAAGAGACGAGCCCCAGCCCCCCCCCCCCCCCCCCC